GTGGCAAAACACCACTATGCATCAATCAGCATCTCCTCATAGAGAAGCATTGAATCAATGCATTTATATGGGGAGCATTCAGCGCCTCGGACTAGGAAGCACCTTTAGTGGCTGTCTGAGTGACTGCAACTAGGGGTGTTACTAGGCACCAATGTAAATGCCTACAGGGACAGGCTATAAACACCAGAACAACTACATTAAACTGTAGTTGTTCTCGTAACTATAGTGTCCCTTTAAAGGACCACCATAGAGACAGCCACTAGAGGCTGGATTAACCTTAGTGTAAACCTAACAGTTTCTCTGAAACTGCTATGTTTACAGCTGCAGGGTTAACACTAGATGGACCTGGCACCCAGACCACTTCATTGAGCTGAAGTGGTCTGGGTGCCTATAGTGGTCCTTTAAGCATAAAATTCTACACAGTGTTTGACAGGTGAAGGTGTGCTTCATGTGCTGCCAATTAACATGATGAAATGTGTTTCTAGCAGAATACGGTTGATGTGTTGGCCCTAGTGGTCATCTCTCCATGACAGTAATATTTGAAAGGTTTACAGGCCGTCGAGAAAAGGTAGAAGAAACATTTATTATGTTTCAGCAATCCTTCCGCACACGCTGTATTATTTACTCATTTTACTGTTTGCACAGGTATGTTTTAGGTTATCTTGTAGAGCACTGCATTTGTGCTCTTAAGATCAAATAGGAAATTACTCTGTGTCTAAAAATATGTATTCCAGGCTGGACCGGTTTATGGTCCAGCGTGCTTTAATCCCGCACATCTTGAAATCTGATATCTTAGACATCAACTGGTCCGACCATGCTCCAATCATAATGCATATTGACGAAATTGTTTCATCAGCCCCAAACAGAACCTGGAAAATAGGCGATTATTTGTTAAATGATGTTGTGAACAGGTCATTGACGGAGAAAGCTTTGAGTGATTATTTTTCGGAAAATGCCTCACCCGAGGTTCCTGGCGAGGTGACTTGGAATGCGCATAAGGCTGTGTTAAGAGGTCATTTTATTTCTAGAGCGTCTCACCTGAAGAGAATTAATAGCAATAATTTAAGAACATTGGAAAAAGAATTGTACAATTTGAACCAGGCTAATAAATTTGGTCCATCGTCCTCCCTATTAGCAATGATAGGAGAAATTAAGGCTAAAATTAACAAAATTAATTTAGATCGTACATCTCTCATGGTGAGATGTCTCAGGAAAACATTTTACTTAAAAGGCAACAGGGCCTCAACTCTTTTGGCATCCAAACTCCGGCATGTGAATGCCCAATCAAAAATAGCATATTTACTTGATGATTGGGACGAAAAGTGTTTCATCCAACTAAAATTAGTGATATGTTTGCAGAGTATTATAGTAAACTTTATAATTTAGAATGTAATTCGGACCTTCCCCAGCCTTCTGCAACAATAATTGATAAATTCTTAGACAGAGTGTCATTGCCTCGGCTGTCTCCAGGACATTTAGAAAGCTTAGAATGTGAAATATCAGCAGAAGAGATAGCTGAGGCGATCAAACTTATGCCATCTGGAAAAGCCCCTGGTCCTGATGGATTCACTATTTTATATTATAAAACTTTTCCAGAAATTTTAATTCCCCATATGACTAAAATTTTCAATTCCTATAAGTCCGGGGGAAAGATGCCAGAGGAGTCCTTGTGCGCACGAATAGTCACCTTGCCAAAGCCGGGAAAAACTCCTGATAGATGCCCTAACTTTAGGCCCATTTCTCTGATTAATAATGATTAAAAGATTTATTCTAAAGTTCTCGCAAATAGATTAACCAAATTAATCCCATTGCTAATTAATAAGGATCAAGTGGGTTTTGTACAGGATAGACAGGCGCCAGATGGAACTAGAAGATTCATAAACTTGATTCAGCATATCAATATGACCATATGCCTTCTTTGTTTCTATCTCTAGACGCAGAGAAGGTGTTTGACAGGATAGATTGGGGATATTTATGGAGAACTTTAGACAGGTTCAACATACCATCATCCTTTATCACAGCAATTAAGGCGCTATATTGCGCACCCTCCGCCCATGTCTCAGCTTCTGGCTTCACATCCAAAACTTTCTCTCTAACCAATGGGACGAGACAGGGGTGCCCTTTATTTCCAATTTTATTTGTTTTAGCGATAGAACCCCTGGCCGAACTAATTAGAACAACCCTACAAATTGTAGGAATTGCTATTAAAAAATCCGTTCACAAAATTGGCCTGTTTGCAGACAATATAATCCTAGCTGTCAAAAACCCAAAAGAATCTTTGAGACACCTCAAGGACATTTTAACTCAATTTGGCAAGATATCGTACTACAAATTAAACGAGTCCAAGACTCAGGCCCTCCCGTTTCATTTAAATAATTTGGAAACCATTGCCCTTAAGAAATCATATTTATTTGATTGGAGAACTGACTATATGGAATATCTTGGCATTAATTTATGCAAAAATTTGGTCAATATGCACAATCACAACTTGAGGAAAGCATGGTTGGACTTACAAAAAGAGATGGAGAGATGGGGCGGGATGGAGCTCTCATGGCTGGGGAGAGTCGCATCTATTAAAATGACCATACTCCCCAAAATTTTATATTTTTTTTAGGACCATTCCTCTGTCCATCCCATTATCATTTTTTAATAAAGTTCACTCGACAATGCTGAAGTTTATCTGGGGGAACAAGCCTGCCCGAGTAAGGCTCACTTCCCTGCAGCACCATAAATCGAATGGCTGTACTGGTGTCCCCGATATCCGCAAATATTATTTCGCCACTAACGCT